AGTACACTTTGGGGTGAGGGAATAAATGGTGTGTTCTATTGAAGTTACAAATCCATGCCAGGCCCACACAGCTTTCAATATGTACAGAAGGAGCAGTCAAAAACAGCAGTGTTCATTATAGTTTACAGACTCAGCACGCACACATATACACAGCAGATAAAATAACAGCAGGAATTTCCTCATCAAGTTCCACAGCGAAACTTCAGTTGCAGTTGTGCTCAAGTACAGTAGTTAATATGGTCACTTCACAACCTTATCAAAATATCCATCTTTTATATTCACAGTGCATCTACTCTCATTCTGCACTTTTCTAGTTTTCTTTTATAGATGTACATATCTATCCTCAGAAAAAAAGTTCTTAATTTTAAAAAAATATCTACCTCCTATCTCACTCCTTGCCCTGAAGCACTTATGATACCCCCAAAGCAGCTTCTTCAACAGGTATGGTTGAGTTAAAAGTGATCTGTTGTGGGATCTCGCCCCTCCCCCCATCACACAATTTTGTTCCAGCAGTTTATCTAGATTATTTGGAAATATGTACTCTGTCGTTACAAACTTTTAAAAAAAATCTTTGTTGCTCAGGAAGAAAAATAATGTTTCATATTTAGCCAGTGCTTTCTTCTTGCAGCTTCTCTTAAATGCATTACTACCTAGACCCTGTGTCCCATTATAAAGCAAGGAAAAAATCTGGGAAGGGAAGAAGAAAGATTTCCCCCTGACTTTGTACAGACAACTGGTAGAATCTGCAACATCTCATAGAAATGCATTACCAGATCAAACTTCAAAACTTCTCAGAAATTGAACTCATTCAAGCCATAAAGATTGTTGTACTAGAAGATTTTTTTTTAAATTATGGAGCCAATTATTTAACTAGAAGAGATTTGTCTTGAAATCAGATTGTTGGCCTTTTCTGTATAGTTCTCATCAGAAGTGACCTTTCACACACAGCTTAACAACAGAGAATCCAGTCTGCAGAATTTTGCGAATCAATTGATTAACTGCACCATGTACCTGCATTTATTCAAGTACAGATAATTGCTACTGGCTACCAATATTGCATATAGGAAGTGAAGTTTACAATGGTAATTTTCTCTGCTTACTACCTCTGGTTTTGCATAATCTGGTATAAAACACAGTTAATGTTCAGTTCAATTTTTTTTCCAGGCTTAGTGTGAAGCTAAAGATTCAGAATCTGCAGGCGATGTGCATATGTGTAAATAAAAATTCAAGAGCCTAACAGATTTTTTTGACAGATAAGGGTGCTAAAATATTATGAATTAACGTGGAAAAATGAATCTTGTGACATTTGGCTCTAGTCAGATGGGTAAAGAGGTTTCAAGTTCCCTGTGGCTTTGAGACACGTAGAAGAATGTGGGAATAGCTTGTGTATCTAGTGATAATATCACAGATAAATATCAAAGATATTTGATTGCTTTGGGAGTTTGAGACATATTTCCCAGAATTATTTTCTTAACAGTGGCAATTGGTTCTATTTCTCTCCCTGGATTTTTGCTCCCTCACAAGCTGGCATTATAGTCGAGGAAGATCAGATCGAACAGATTGGATGAGTAACAGAGGGCCCGGCTGTCTCTCCTTGTATTCTCTTGTCGCATGTTTACATGCAAGGGGCTTCGCTGCGGGGGTATGATGTACCAATTCAGAATGTACTCTCACAACAGCAAAGAGTCTCACTTCTATCAGGCCACCATTGTCTAAAAGCTATTGACATCATGAATAGATATGCAGAGTTAGGAAGATTGCTGAACTTGTGAGGAGCTGATACAATTAGATGTTTGCTGGATTTGAGCTAGGATTCTTAACCATGACAAGTAGAGTGTGATCCTAAAAGAATCTTCCGATAGGAAATGCTTTGGGCATCTCATCCATCCCAACTTATGTAAATATGTGTGTTCCTTACTGGTCATTTGCTAATTTTCAGACTTCCACTACAGCACAATTTGGCATCTAGATATTTTTTAAACAACCTATTTTGAGATGTTATTCCACACCTATGGACCAGATGGGGCCTGAACCCCAGCCACTTGTTCCAGAGGTATGGACACTACCACTGTGGCATAACAGCCCTACAAAAGTCAATGGGCCTTGAATAGCAAGAAAAGAATAGCTGTAAAGAGTAATTAACATTGTGAAAATTGAAGAGAATGGGTAATGAGATTTAACCCCTGTTGAGACACCAACATCTTCTGATGTGCTCTACAAAGAGTCAGGATATGAGTCTGCTTAACTTCAGTGCTAAAAATTAGTGACCAGAGAGAGAGGTGAAAAAAGTCATCAAAGTGAGCTGGATTTTTGTTTCACAAAATTCTCTCTCCTTTGCTCCCGAAAACAGACACATGAGAGGTTCCAATTCCCGGGGAATTGGTTGTTCCAGCAGGAGTCACTGGTCTGCAATCAGGAATAGGAATTCCATTTCTTAACAACCCAAGGGTGAACTGGTCGTGTCCCTATTGAGCTAGAGATCAGATGAACAGGAGAAAGCCATCCAGGCTCTCAATTGGTTCAAATGATCTATTTTAAGAACTGACTGACCATCCCTAACCCAACAAAAAAAATCAATCAATCAATCTTAGTCTTGACGGCTCCAGCTTCCATATCCTTTTGTGGGAGAGAATTTCAGAGATTAAACCTGAACGTTCTGATCTGTGTGGGTTAATGATACAACAATCAGCACCTTTCCTCAGCATGTCATCAGGGAACTGTGCTTAAGTACTTCTTTAAAGCACTTGCAGTTCAAAGATTTATTATGGACGTTGTTGCAAAAAAAAATGTCCACAGGCTGCAGATTCTTACAAAGCAAAATCATTTCCATTAGACACCTATTAGGCAACCTACTGAGGGAAATGATTAATAACAGCTTGAGTAAGGATAACTCATTTTTATCATTACTTCTAAATGGTAAAGAAAACCTATTCAAAATGATTTATTGACCGACCACAGAAAGTGTGAATTGGAATTATAAAGGGGCTGTCGAGATCAACAGTTGCAGTTAATTAACCAGGAACCTTTCAAATATATTCTGAGCCAAGCAGTGTAAATCATCCTCAATCTAAACACCCTACTGTGCCAGGTACAAAGATTAATGCTCGGATTCACTGATGGAACAAGTTCCTGAATGACGCCTATTGATCCTAATATTGTATTGCCTCACACCATCAGAGCAACTAGACTCCTCATACGGTTTGCCCACACTATTATGCAGATTTAATCTCAAATCATAGAATAACAGGATGATCTATCTTCTCTGAAGCTAGATTTAAACTCTGTTAACCTTTTCGGTGTAGGGTGTCCATTAGACTTATCTTTAATTACTTTTGACAATAGTTTTGGTGTGATGGCTGCAGTATCGTAGTAATTGAAGGATACAGAAATGGGAACATTGCTGAAACGATCAACACAACGCATGCCCAGATACACAAGATAGGTACCTTAAACTCCACAAACACCCTAACACTCCTGTACACAAAATCACTATTTTCAAGCAATTGTATCAGCATATTAGCAAGTTACCAACTGTCCAAATTTATGACAAATTCAGAAGGAATTTGGAAATCTGATTCCAGAACTAGATTGGATCAGTTGTTCCCACATCAGCCAACTTATTTCAAATGAGGTCTCCAGCATTAAAACAAAATCAATTTAACTTGTTTATTGTTCTCAAAAACTCCTTATTGTATTATATGTAGACCACAATAAAATGTTGTCTGCACAAACTTAAGTATCATTTTCTTCTTTTGGTTATAAAGTGCCAATAACATTAAGTGAACCAGTTTGAGGAAGTATCTAAGCTGAAAGAGAGGGATTAATCACCCAGGCCCTGTGGGTAAATTACCAGATTGTTGCTTATATTCTACCAGTTTAATATGCTTAAACTCCAATTGTTTTCAAAGATATTTGCTGCATGCTAACCAGTTATAATTCATACACTGGCCAGTTAAAAAAAAAACTCAGGGAACCAAATTATCAGAGTTCTGATTGAGTGTCTTCACTTAATAATTTAATGTTTTCTTTTACAGATGCTGATGAGTCTGCTGTGGCTTCCTGGTTTTATTTAAGAGTTATAATGTATGAAAGCATGCATTTTTAAACTTGTTCCAGCACTAGGGCAATGGAAAAGCATTGTAACAAATTCTGTTGGAAGTTTTCAGAACTTTTATTGTTTTAGTTTTACTAACATTCATCCTTCAATCATAAAAATAAAGGAGGCAGAAATGAATTTAGTCAAAACAGTGACTGCAAACTAAGATAACAAACTGTGGCTACTGGAAATTTGAAACAAAAATTGAAATTGCTGGAGAAATGCTGCAGGTCTGGCAGCATCTGTGAAGAGAAAGCAGAGTCAACATTTCGGGTGTAGTGAACTCTGGACCCGAAACGTTTACTCTGCTTCCTCTCCACAGATGCTGCCAGACCTGCTGAGTTTCTCCAGCAATTTCTGATTTTGTTTCTGTTTGCAAAATGACATTGATATTTTAAGCGATTAGACAGTACTATATTTAAAGGAAACAAAAACTGAAACAACGGTGCATGCTGTAAATTAGAGGCAAAAACAGAAATTGTGGAAAAGCTCAGCAGGTCTGGCAGCATCTGTGGAGAGAAATCAGAGTTAACATTTCATGTCAAGTGACCTTTCCTCAAAGGGTGGCATGGTGGCTCAGTGGTTAGCACTGCTGCCTCACAGCGCCAGGGACCTGGGTTCACTTCCACCCTCAAGCGACTGTCTGTGTGAAGTTTGCATATTCTCCCCGTGTCTGCATGGGTTTCCTCCCAGAGTCCAAAGATGTGAAGGTTAGATGGATTGGCCATGCTAAATTGCTCATAGTGTCCAGAGATGGGCAGGTAGGTGGATTAGCTATGGGAAATATGGGGTGGGTCTGGGTGGGATCTCTTCAGAGGGTCAGTGTGGACTCAATAGGGCTGAATGGCCTGCATCCACACTGTAATTCTTTGAACTCTGATTTCTCTCTACAGATGCTGCCAGACCTGCTGAACTTTTCCAGCAACTTCTGTTTTTGTCTCTACATTTAATGGAGTTTGGTTTAAAATTAAAATATGTTAAACAGGAAAACTGCAAGTGTTGATGCTATTCTTTACTTATTCCTGGACAGTGTTCATTTGGTTAAAGAGAGATCTGTGTCTCAAAAAAGAATCAATCCACATCGATAAACCATGAAACATTGTGTGCAGTGTGTCACCAATATAAACAAAATATATGAGAAGCAATCAATTGAAGGGAGGGGTATTCAAGAAGAAGCTTTTAGAATTCATTCTATTAGACCAAGGGGACTATAATATTTTTTGACCAATTTCTCTTTGGTGACAGCGTGATAGCTGAATGTGACGCTCTTTTAAGATCATGGCAAATGTTCAAACTTATTTTTAAACCTACTGCAACAATCAAATTACAAGAATCAATGAATAGTATTGAATCTTTACTTCCTCAATGACTAATTCAGCAATATTTAAAAAAGATATATATATAATATATATATATATATATATACACACACACACGAATATGCTAAATTTATACTGCAATCTTAGTAAAATTTATACTGTCAGAAAACAATTATGTTGGGTATTACCCATATTCCAGTGTATAGCAGACTACATTATAAAGTTCTGAGGGAAAATGCTCATGAGTTTAAAGAATGCTATGGACGGTATAGTTACAAGGCGGTTAGTGTGCATAAACATATACAACAGTCTTTAGAATTACATTTTCAGAATTCTGGTCTGATTAGTAATCAGGTTCTAATTAAAATGTTACTGTTCTCTGCTTTGGACAAATTAATGACTGGAAATTCTTTCCAAAAGAGGCTGTTACCTAGAACTGGCCAAGTGACAAAATACTGTTCAGTCACCACCGTCGTGATGCCTTTAAAAGCTCCAAATGCTCCATGAGTTTGTGAATCTTAAGAGTATATTAAGGACCTTACTCTAGTTCGGTCAAAGTTTTAATCCAGTCTTCTGTAAGCACAAAAGGCTCACCGAGGAACAAAAGGTTTAGTAGCAGGTTCACAGCAAAATAAGGGAAACCTTAACCTGAGAAAAATATCCCACCTCTCAACAGGAGTTCTTTATCACATCCTAGTTCATATTGACACTAACAGTCATTCCTTCAATTTCTACCTCAATCAATATCCAATAGAGAATTGCTTACAGGCCACACCTATGGACTCTTGTTCTATATGGTCAAGTGTCATACCAGACGGTACAGTTACACTCAGTTCAACCATATTCCTCCTTCCTGTGAGGATCCAAGATAAGTATTATGTGAACAGCACTACACAAACTTTAGAATCCAACTGCTCTTTTGGGAGTGGGAATAGCCATTTATGAAAAATTCAAGATAAAGTCCAGCAAACTTAATCCACATAACTGATGCACAATTTCTGCCAATTTGTTTTAATTTCTCATCTCAGAGATACCAGAATCAGATTACACTGCAGATGTGTCAGTTATCAGGAAAGCAAGTTCAAACTAGTAAAATGAACACACTCCCAACCTACTATCACTTGGGAATGGCAGTCAAGTGACTATAAAATCAAACCAGGTGCAGGCAGAAACAGGTTCAATCTATTTTATTTTGCCTGCATTGAAGACTGACGTAAATAGGCAGTCTGCTTTAAAACAAATTAAAATGTTTGTTTGTCTTGTTTGCAGAGGGTTTAGGTTGAAAGTGGTTCAGTTACTTGTTAGGTTCATCAGTTTTCTCTTCAATGATGTAAGAAACAGATTTGAAAAAGGGACACCCAGTTCTGAGGAAGGGTCACCGGACCCGAGATGTTAACTCTGATTTTTACTTCACAGATGCTGCCAGACCTGTTCAGCTTCCAGCAACTTCTGTTTTTGTTGTTGTGTTTGAAAAAAGGGCACCTAATTATACATCATAAGATGGTTTATGTGCCAAGTCTGAGAACTAACAGTGAACAGTCCCTTTTGCATTTGGATGCCAACTATGGCTCAAACAATTTGCATTTCAAACTGTATAAATTGGTGTTGCTTTTTACAAGTCTGTTTCTTGTATCCTAGTCCTGATGAGTGCAAGATGAAGGGTTTCAATTTGTTGTTTCCTCATAAGAAATGTTCAAGATCTAAAAATTTACAAGTTCAACAAATCTTCCCTTATATTATGGAAACGTCCTTCCTTAGTGAGTTTGCAGGGTATCTTTCATGTGCATTCTTGATTAAATTGGAAATAGTGTTCCTGAATATCCACATCACACTGTTGAGGTTCAGATAGAAACCAGTGCTGAACTTAAGCACCTCTTAGTTAAGTCAGTTGGACACAGAGTAGTTGGTACTGTGTCATTCCCTAACCTAGCTTACAACAGACATCGAGTAATTTGCCCTCTGTTACCATTTTAATCCCAAAGTCATCTTCTGTGGAAAGAAACAATATATTCACTTGAATGTGTTTCAAAAAAATAAAGTAGCATAGAGTTTGGGCAAACATTTCAGTGAAACAGCATGAGTGACTTTGTGTGGATGAAACTTACTTCAGAGCCAAAAATTGTGCTACTTGCATTAACTTCAAAATTGCTTCAAAATTCATGGATTACTGCATAAGTTTCAGGTGTATTTTGTGCTCCATACAATTTGTGACTATGTGTATCAAAACAGAGGTTTGGGATACAATCATCCTGAAAAACTGCAAATACAGTGGGGGCTGAAGGAAACAAGTTCCCACAAATTTCAAGTACAGAGCAAAGGCTTACGAGGGAAATCCTAGTTATTGAAAAGAATGCGGTCCCTTTAAGAAAACTATATTTTCTCCTTAATAGGCCACACTTTTTAAACATTTAAAAGTCCATCATTTGAATACTTTCAGATATTCTGTTGGCTTCGGGCTGCAAAGGTCAATGACATTGTAAATTAAAGCTGATTACAGGCCCGTTCAGCGAAAATGGCACATGTATATACTGAGAACCAGGTAATCATGTACATGGAAATACGACTCCTTTCATGTTGCTAGTATGAGGATTTGTTTATAATACCTCCCGGCAATTTTGTCCACCCTAAGTAATATAATAAGGAAACTGCACTTAAAAGAGTCTGCTAATAATGGCATCATATCAATCATCAGTATGGATGGGACAATCAGGGAGATGGGGTGGAGGTAAGCTTATTCAATATTATTCAGTGATCAACGTACTTCAATTAATCTCTCTACACAGGCACATGTAACTGTAGTTCGCTGTGTAGCATGGCTCACCAGACCTGCAATTACAGTCAGCTATACATAACAAGTAATTTACATTTGCTTTGCAGTCAGCACATTGTACAACTCTCCACCACTATAGGCACACGTCAGCATCCTTCTTCACATGTAGACATTAGGTGGGGCCATGTTGAGTCAATGGCCAGGATTACGCTTCTCAGAAGTTGTATTCTTTCCACTTGTGTATTGGTGAAATGAGGATGTCTCTCTCTATCCTTGTTGCAAAGTCCAGGCCTTGCAGGCAATAGCACTACAATGGTCCCTTGAATTGATTACCCGAGAGGTGTTGCCTGATGGAAGGATTCGAACCAGCTGCATCTCCAAGCTTACGCCAGACCACCTGAAAGGTAGACAAGTCATAGTTCAAAACTATCTGGAAAGAGACTCATTTGTCCAAAAGTTTTCACAGTTTGTCTCTCTGTCCTTTGAACACACCATCACAGGAAGGATTATAGAAAGACGGGTCAACGGACCCGAAACGTTAACTCTGTTTTTTCCTTCACAGATGCTGCCAGACCTGCTGAGCTTTTCCAGCAACTTCTGTTTTTGTTCCTGATTTACAGCATCCGCAGTTCTTTCGGTTTTTACAGAAAGAGGAGTAGGCCATTCAGTCCCTTGAGCCTGTTCTGTCAGTTTTTTTAATGAGCATTGTAAATACTTTCTCTTTCCACAGCATTCCTGATGTAGAAATTAAGGTTAATTGAAATGCCTTAAATGACACCTTCCAAATTCATGAACTCCTCTGACGGCACCCATAGCATAACCTCTATCCCATTGAAGGACAAGGGTAGCATATAGACAGGAACACCACCACCTGCGAGTTTCCTTCCTTGACTTGGAACTAGATTGCCAGGAATTCCCTTCTAACAGCTCTGTGGGTGTGCCTACATTGAGAATTGCAGCAGTTCAACACCAGCTTCTCAAGGGCTATTAGGGGTGGGGATAAATCTTGGCATATCCAGAGTTGTTCATGTCCCATGAACAAGTTCTTAAAACATTATACTTTTTTAAAAGTTCTTTCCTCTCATTCTGATGTATTTCCTCCTTGCTGAACCAGATTTCACGTGAATACAGCTCCCTGTGGTACCTCACCAAGTGACAGTCTGGAAGCAGTGTGCTGCAAGGTTATCCAAATGTATGGACAAAACGCAATCCTATTCTCAATTATGCTTCCAGCATAACTGGTAGATAACAATCATGGAAGGGGATACCAGGCAAGATTACAGTCCCCAGGGATGCTAAAACCAATTGCTGTGCATTTGCCTCTATCCCATCTGAAGTCATCTGCTCCTGTAGTAACCAGGCCGAACTAGATATCACAGCAGCAACCACGTAATATTCTGAAGTCATTTTGGATCTGAAACATTAACTCAATTTTCTCTACAGATCCTGCCCACATTGTTGAGTGTCGCTGCATTTCCTGTTTTTAACACATTGTAAAATGCACCACAGATAATGTAAAAATGTTATTACACAGTAGTAGTGTGAAGAGTGAATCATTCTGTCAGTTTTTTAATCCATCAGAATCTTGTGCTGACTATGGACTTTAATAACAAGCTGTGTTCCAGTGCAGAATAAACACAAGTGGGTCGAGTTTGACTTTGTGCAATAGCGCAAGTCTGGCCATTCTGAATCAGCAGCTTGTTTCACAACTTTCCCAATTCACCCGACATCAGGAAAAATGAAAATCAGGAGATGTTTTTTACCAGCTGCCAATTCATTATAAATCAACTTATGCTATCGCAGAAAGCCAAATTCTTACCTAAAACTTTGTTTCTTTTATTTCCTCAATGTAACTTCCCTGCGTAGATCCCCATTGCATTGAAAACAGGCACTGTTATTTGATATTGTGTTGCTATGGTATCAGATCACATTGCTAAGACAACAGAACCCTTACATTACACATCTCCCGAACAATGGCCTTCTCCTTCTCACTCAAGTCATCATGTTCGCAGTCTTCCGGCAATTGTCTATCCAGGTTGTCATGAACTTCCAGGACCTGGAAACCCAAAATATACATCAAGTTAACAATGAAGAAATTTTAAATCACATATATTCTAGAAAGGAGGTGCTGGGCGACTTAAAACTCATAAAAGATGGATAAATCCCCTGGACCTAATCAGGTGTACCCTGGAACACTGTGGGAAGCTAGGGAAGTGATTGCTAGGGGCCCTTGCTGAGACAGCTGTATCATTGATAGCCACAGGTGAGGTACCCGAAGACTGAAGGTTGGCTAATGTGATGCCACTGTTTAAGAAATGTGGTAAAGAAAAGCCAGGAAACTATAGACCAGTGAACCTGGCATCAGTGATGGACAAGTTGTTGGAGAGAATGCTGAGGGACAGGATTTACATTTATTTGGAAAGGCATGGACTGATTAGGGATCATCAACATTGCTTTGTGCATGGGAAATCGTGTCTCATGAACTTGATTGAATTTTTTGAAGAAGTAACAAAGAGAGCTGATGACGGCAGATATGATCTGTATGGACTAAGTAAGGCATGTGACAAGGTTCCTCATGGTAGACTGGTTAGCAAGGTTAGATCACACAGAATAGAGGGAGAATTAGCTATTTGGGTTCTGAACTGGCTTGAAGGTAGAAGGTAGAAGGTGATGGTGGAGGGTTGCTTTTCAGACTGGAGGCCTGCGACCAGTGATGTGCTCCAAGGATCGGTGATGGGTCCACTGCTTTTTGTCATTTACATAAATGATTTGGATGTGAACATTGGAGGTGTGGTTAGTAAGTTTGCAGATGACACCAAAATTGAGGTGTAGATTACAGCGAAGAAGGTTACCTCAGAGTACAATGGGATCTTAATCAGATGGGCCAATGGGCCTAGGAGTGGTGAATGGAGTTTAATTTAGATAAATGTGAGGTGCTGCATTTTGGAAAGGCAAATCAGGGCAGGACTTTTTAACTTAATGGTAAAGTCCTGGAGAGTGTTGCTGAACAAAGAGACTTTGGAGTGCAGGTTCATAGTTCCTTGAAAATGGAATCGCAGGTAGATAGGATAGTAAAGAAGGCATTTGGTATGCTTGCACTTATTGGTCAATACATAGACTATGGGAGTTTGGAGGTCATGTTGCAGCTGTACAGGACATTGATTAGGCCATCATTGGAATACTATGTGCAATACTGGTCTCCCTGCTATAGGAAGGATGTGGTGAAACATGAAAGAGTTCAGAAAAGATATACAAGGATATTGCCAGAGTTGGAGGGTTTGAGCTATAGTGAGAAGCTGAATAGACTGGGGCTATTTTCCCGGAGCGTCAGAGGCTGAGGGGTTATAAGAGGTTAATAAAATCATGAGGGGCATGGATAGGGTAAATAGATAAGGACTTTATCCCAGGGTGGGTGAGTCCAAAGCTAGATGGCATAGGTTTAAGGTGAGAAGGGAAAGATTTAAAAGGGACCTAAGGGGGAATTTTTTCATGCAGAGGGTGGTGCGTGAATGACCTGCCAGAGGAAGTGGTGGAGGCTGGTACAATTACAACATTTAAAAGACATCTGGAAAGGAAGGGTTTAGAGGGATATGGGCCAAATGCTGGCAAATGGGACGAGATTTATTTAGGATATTTGGTTATCATGGACGAGTTGGACCAAAGGTCTGTTTCTGTGCAGTATATCTCTAGGACTCTAAATCAGCTGTCTGTGGTTACATGGAAGATTTGTGGTGTCTAGCTTTGATTTTCATACCTGGAATACAAAAGCCCAGCTTTCTAATTGTTCGCATGGAGGATTCAGTTAGTTAAGGCAGTACCCAGTGAAGAAATAAGCGATGAAGGATGTGCCTTGGTTCAATGCCTCATACTATCTTTGTTGACTGATTTATAGGGCATGAAGAAGCAATTTAAAAAATCAAAGAGGGAACCTGATTTCTATCAAATGGGTCTTGACTCACATTTGAACATTTGAGGTGACTGCGATACCCTCCAGTGTCAATCAGTCTGCTGGTAATCATTCTCTAAGGTCCCCCGTATGGCCACTTGATCAAAAATAACTTGGGAGCATTGGCATTGAGGACTGGTACCTCAGCAAAAGCCATGCCTTCGGGATAGGATGGAGATGGAGATTTAAATAATTTTGAAAAAGAAGTGACATTTTAAAATATAATGTAGCACCAGTGGCTTGAGTAGTAAGTTCATAAGGGCATTATGATATCCATTGCCTGATATACAGCCCAATCCATATCATGCTCTGCTGAAGTCAACAGAATGGAATAAAGCTCAACACTCATGAGGTGGAACACACATCAGATACACAGGGGCTGGAACTCGGTCATTTAGACCCTCCAGCCCTTCTGCCAATTGATTAGATCATGGCTGATCATTATTTTAACACATGCCTTCATTCTGTAATCTTTAACACTGCTGTCTAACAAAAATTAAGCAACACCAGTTCTCAATTTTCCTCCAGATTCATGGCTTCAACAGCATTTTTGATTTGTCTGGTGGGGAGAGAAAAAGGTGAAAGAAAGAGTTTCCAATTTTCACTAGCCCTTTCACAGAGACATATTAGCAATGAAAGACTTTCCTTCTCACAACCAACATGAGCTCCAATATTCAGAGCAGTGAAGTGTCTGAAAGATTATGAATGCATTTTTAAAAACACAATGAATTTCTCTTTGTGGTGCCTGTGAAGGCTTTGACACCGGTATGTAGATGTTGTGGAATGGGCCCTAGAAAGCACTGGCCAATCTATTAACTCCCTGAAAGGAAATGAAACAACAGTTTGCGGCATTTTTTTTAGGTTCCATTTTCTGCATTGCCGTTTCAGAGATGGAGCATTGTGATCAGCAAAGGGGCTGTTGATTGGGAATTACTGGGGGCTTTGCTGAAACTGTGCCTGAATCCCTGCCATACATCTCAGCAAGCAAACCTCTATGTAACTGAACGTAGTGACCCTGACCTATAAAGGAGTAGACTCAACTATAGAGGAAGGAAACAGCATCAAAACACTGAGTTAAAAATCCAAGAATAAGATTAAGATTATCGTATAAATATTAAAATATAAAATAAAATAACATTAGTAATTCTATTGTTATTTGTTCATTCAGCATATCATGGTGACCCCTTTAAATCCTATGTAAAGAATTTCCTCTTCAATATGTGGGGAGCAGGGTGGCAACAGTGCATTAAAGATGTAAGAAAATGATCGCTTTCCCACACATTGGAGGCAACTAACACGTGAGCAGCAGGTGCACAATTAATGCAAGCGGAAAGGCATCCGTCAGACAAAGGTTTGTGACGACCTTTATTTATTTTCTTGGTAAGGAATAGATTTAAGAACATGAGGGAGCAAGAGTGCACAAAACACCTATTGATCAAGTGAGGCTCTTCTGTCAGATAATCCACAGAATAACAAAGGCCTCTCTTTAGGTTAGCTACCTGTCCCAGCTGCAGCTATGAGTGAGAAGGATGGGCCAGGTGAGGGCTGGTGGGAGAGGAGAAAGTGTGTGAGAGAGAGAGAGAGAAAGAGAAAGAGAGAACTGGGCACCAACGTGAAAAATGACAACACTGTGAACAAAGCAAAACAAGGATAAATTTTGAGGAAAAAAATGCCACTTATTTGCATTATTTCAAGGATTATTTAGCCATTGGTGATGAGAAAGGGGCTGACTGTCTGATCAATAAAGGTAATTGGTGACTACCCAAAGGATTACAAGGTTCAGGCTCTGCAGACCTCTACCCTCTTTCTAGGTACTGGGAACAAAGGGTTTTGGTCCCCCAGTTCACAGAGACAGAGTAAAATAAAGCTGCCTCAGTATTGTTTTGGTGGTTACTTCCATCAATAGTTAAGTTTGCACCTTTGGGGAAGATAGTTTTCTTTGAATGTATTTATAGAGGGGAAGAAAAGGCTGCAGTGGTTTACCTTCATTGCATGCACAACTGCTTCTGGCTTTTGGGCAGTGGGACTGAATCCAGGTGGCATCACTGGAACATTGGGGTCCCCAGTCATCAGCCACGGTGGACCCTGTTAAAAAAAACACAAAGGCTGTGAATACATTGTGTACATCAACAGTGGGGAGAAGGGGAATGGGAAAAGGGAAAACTGAGACAAAAATGGAAGGAAAATGTGGAGTGAGTTCAGAGCAACAGAAAGAAAGGGGAGAGAGGGCAATAGATGGATAAAGAATGGACCGGGGGAGGAATGGACAGGACAACAGAACGTAGGAAGGAGAGGGAAGAAAGAGAAACAGGAGATTGGGGGAAGGTGGGAGGGGACAATGGAAAGATATGAGAGGAGGAGATTGGCATGAGCTGGAGCAGCAGAGAGAGACAAGAAAGGAAGGGAACAGAGAGACAGAGAGAATGGAGTGGAGGAAATGGAGAGGCAGAATAGGAGAGGGAGAAGAAAGGGCAAGTTGTACTAGGTGCTGAAAGTGAGAAAGGTGAAAACAAGCACTTCAGTGGGGTTTGGACTTTCCAGCAATATCTCTATTGCTTGCTTGTGGTTACTGTCAAAATGTAACAATTTGCAAATAGGATCCTGTGGTGAAAATTTGTAGAACAAGATATGATGGCACTACATAAGATTATCTAATTTATTGTATTGCTTCTAGAAACTAATCTTCTCAAAGTAAATGGTGCAACTTCAACCTCTATAAATACTCCGACGTCCCTTGCACTAAAGGTGAAAGGAATGAGAACAAACAGCTGCAACGCTTGTTGTATTTGAGTGCTTGTAGGATTTAAAGTGTGGACAAGCTGACAACAAAGCTACAACACACTTGGAATAAAATCCCTTTTCCGAAGTCCATTATTCAACACTGACCCAGCTCTCAGCGTGGAACAATGAAACTATTAACTCCAACATAAACTACTCCAATAAACCCAGTCTTACTACACCTGCCTCCAGGCAGCGCTTGTTTCAAACTTAATGTACATGTCATTTCATGCAAAGCAGCGTCGAATAAACTTCCAAATAGCTTAAAACAGCTATGAGGAATTAAGTCTGTATCTTATCTTCCCTCAGGCCAAGGGAGTGGCTTCATGCCTCAGGTTTTAAGAGTGATTTAAACAAATGCCAGGAGTTGAGATAATCTGAACAGTCTTGAAACTGTAGCTGAAATTACACACCACAGCAGAATTATTTTTTAAAGGACTCCATTCAGGACGTTAGTAGGAATATAGTGAGAAATGCATGGTGTGAATTTAACACATTAAAAACCCACCCACTTGCAGTTAAAAATCAGCCTCACAGAGAAGGCACAACACCAAAATAGGCAACAGCTATCAGGGTGACTGTGTTGCTATTTACCCTGCACCCTTGTGGTACGAAATGATGCATCTATACATTGGTCTCAGGATCATTGTTACTTTGGAACTACATATACTTACAAGTACATGTTGGCTGTCCCAATTAACTCTTACCTCACTCAGCTGAGAGACATAAACTAAAGTTTTATCTATTGGATTAAAGGGAATGGGTTTATGTAGCCTTCTCCACTGGCACCTTTTCCTCCTTTGAGTACCTCACTATCTTCCCATTCCTCTTAAAATCTGCATTTTCTTCCATCTTCTAAATCCCATCCCATATTCCTTGAAGATATTCTGATTTTTATAACCCTAATCTCAATTTGTCCTCGTCCTTCTGAAACATCTCCCACTATACCAGCTCTCCTATCCATATTCATCACTCCTTCAAACTTGCCATCTCATTTGGCCTCTCCGATCCAATGGTCTCAACCAATGACAAGAATATCTTCAACCATTTCCTGTATCTTTAGTCACCCACATCCTCCTAGCTACCTCTCTATTTCCAACTTCAAATCCTTCTTAGTCTGTCTCTGGAAACAACTCTCTCCCAAAACACATACAAGAAGAACTTGCATTTATATTGAAAATTTAAAATGCCAAAGTGTCCTGAGGTGCTTCAGGTGGGCATAACCAGATGAAATTTGATATTAATACATTTAAAGACGGGTGTTCAAAAGCTTGGTCAAAGAAGTATATTTTAAAGAGCATCTTAAAGCAGGACAGGGAATTTCAGGTCTGAGGTTGTAGATTAAAGATATGGCTGAAGATGTTGGAGTAACTAAAATTGAAGGAAGCTGGAATTGAAGATACAACTGCAATTTCAAACTGCCAACAGCTTCACCTTTGGATTTCCATCCACTTAAATACTTCTACAGCTGTTGATCTGTTCTATCATCTTGCTTACTGCAAACCCTTTGCTCTCTTTCCATCCTAGAGATTCCTTTGACGTAGGAACAAGAGTAGGCCATTTAGCCCAGTAAGCAACAATGGCAAGGCCCCTATTTCCACACCCTTGACTTCAGCTTTTCTGGCACATGCTTGTTTAGCCATTCACCACCAGTGCAATAAGAACAGTTGGGCTGTACTCTCCACTATCAAAAGCCCACCCACCTCTCCAGGGTCTGATCAGATATCTGATTCCTTTCCTCTAGTAAATAAAAACTTGCATTTATATATTGCACTTCATAACATCAGAACACCCCAATGCACTTGTACAGGCAATAAACTACTTCTGAGTGTAAGCACTGTTCAAATGTAGGAATCATGACAGCCAATATCTGCACATCAAGTTCCCACAAACTGAATTTGTTTGAAATTCAGAATTCTTGCAATTGTTCTAGTGATGTTAATTGAGATATAAATTTTGGCACTCAGAACTATGTACTTTCTTATTAATTCACCAGATGTAGGAATCATTGACTCTGCCGGAATTTATTGCCCAACCCAATTATCCAGAGGGCAATTAACAGTCAATCACACTGCTGTGGGTCTGGAGACACATGTAGGACAGATGAGGTAAGAATGGAAATTTCTTTTCCTAAAGGACATAAGTGAATCAGATGAGTTTTTCCCAACAATCAACAATGGTTTCATGGCCATCATTAAATTCTTAATTTCAGATTTTCATTCAATTCAAGTTTGATTGTGGTGTGATTCAAACCCAGGTCCCAACAACATTACCTGGGTCACTGGATTAATAATCAGTAATAATATCACTAGGCCATCACTTCTTCATGTAGTTCAACATTAATTCTCATATATACATGAATGACACTCAGTTTCACCTTACCACCACCTCTAAACTTCCCCGTTGTGTGTGGAAAATAAAGCATGTTGTGAAGATTTTTGACTGGTTATCTTAAAGCAATTGTTAGTGTGGTTATTAGCACACTCAGTACTGTTCAACATGTGTTGTCCATCTGTATAGGCATATCTAACTTTGGTTACTTTGTTCTGGGTTTTCTATGCTGTTTGAGTTTGGTATATACCCTGCTGGCATAGGCTTGCCAGAAGAGATATAAATTCATGCACAACAATTCCATTCTCTATAGGCAAAAGGAATATGTTCAACCCATGCACCAGTTTTGAATTATCCAGGATCTTGGCTAGTGATCGCCAAGGAAGAAGCAACAGGCAATATCTCAGTCAGTCACAGTTGATTTGCTAACCATTCATCTCTCTTTTCTCCTGCAGTTTGAACGGATGTGCGTGTTTGCAATGCAGCATTCTTGCATTTGTCCTGATGAGTGCAAAATGGAAAGCTTCGCAGCGTGTCTCTCTTTTGGCAATTATCTTATCGTATTCTCTGTGAAGTCAAGTGGAAAGTTTTTCCACATGCAAGACACTATTATCGCAGATGCTGTTGTTTTAACAATGTTCACCCAATAAGCCAAAGCAAGCACTTTAGTTTCTCGTAATCTGTACTAAAATAAAACCTCTTAAATCTAAAAAGGGCTGCAAAGGGGGTGTTGTGATTCATAAAATGTGTTAGTGAATCACTTTGTCAGACCAGTGAACTGAGAAGACTGGAACAAGACAACCTCTGATCTACACTGTTACAATTCTTTCAAATTAATGACTGGTTTAAATTTAGCCTGTGGTTTTCAGGATGTTAAAGCTGGAAACTATACAAGATAAGAATAAGTGGCAGCCTTGGCTCAGTGGTAGCACTCTTGCCTGTCAGTCATAAGGTTGAAAGTTACAAGCTCCCCTGCAAGATTTGAACATATGACCTAGTCTGACATTTTCCTGCAGTACCGAAAGTGTATTGCACTGTTGGGGTGCTGTCTTTTAGATGAGATGTTAAACTAATGCCCTGTCTGCTTTCTCGGTTGGACGTAGATGATCCTATGGCACTATTCAAAGCCGAGAAGGGAGTTCTCCTAGTCTCCTAGCCAACATTTCTCTCTCAATCCATAGCATCCAAAATAGATTAACTTGTTAATTCACAGACTCCTGCCCTTCCCTTCCCTCCAGCAAAGACAATAGGGTTCTGCTGGTACTCCCATCCATCTGGCCTGAGGAATCAATGGGTCACCCTCCACATTTCCCTCCAGCAGCAGTGTGATACCACTAAACACATCTTCCATAACCTCTCCCCTTTCAATATTTTGAAGGAAATGTTTCCTCTGTGTCTATTCCTTAGTCATTCCTGAGACTTTGATCGCCTGTCAGCTTAGACCTGTCGCCATCCTCAGCCTCCTGCAATGTTTAACTGAAGCATAATGCAAGATGTGGAACACTGGGAATTTTACAGTCTTTGGGAGTCAGAATCAATTTCAACAGTTTTAAGTGATGGTAAAATGAGGGCAGGGGTTTCCTCCTTCTTTGCTGCTTTTGGTTTTTGCTTGTTCTTTTTGTCCCCTTCTTACCATGCTTTCTCGGCAGAACTTTCTGTGCATCTATCATTCACACCTCCTCTAGACTTCTTTTATTTCTTTACTTGTACCTTGCATCATGAAAACTTTAGTCAGTTAATCTCTCCCTCTTTCCACTCTTCCACAGACCTTCCTTCTATATTCTTTCCCAACATTCCATACCCACCTTTTAGTTGCTACAAATCTATCACATTTGCTAATTTTTCAAAGTTGTGATGGATGGTCATTGACCTGAAAGGCTAACTCTGTTTCTCCTTCCACAGATGCTGACAGTGCTGCGACATTATTCCAGCATTTTTTAATAGTTAGTTATTTAACTCATACATCTTTGGAGAAC